CCTCCCTCCACCCTCCCTATCCCACCCCTCTAGGTGGTCACAAAGCACCGAGCTGATTTCCCTGTGCTATGTGGCTGCTTCCCACTAGCTATCTATTTTACATTTGGTAGCGTATATATGTCCGAAGGCCAAATTTTTGAATATAAAAATTGCTTTCTTTTCTAGCCAAAATAATCTTGACTGGGGTTCTTTGGTATTCTCAAAGATGTTGTAAAGTTTATTTTTATTACCAGTCATTTGGGGACTACAGATTAGAAGAAAAAACGTGTGACATTTTTTGTGTGTGTTTTCAGGTTTTAATTTTTTAAATAATATAAAGTGTGGTTAATTTATGAAAAAGTGTCAGTAGTATTTGGGAGAAATTTTATCTAATGCACATTTCTTAAGAGAATTTTTTTTTTTTTTTAAATCCCAGGGTAACTTTGTTTAGTTCCATTAAGAAAAGTAGGTATTCAAAGTAATGTAACTGCAAAGCTTCTAGTTAACTATTGGAGTGAAAAATGCACTTCTAGGCAAATAATCTTTTTAATCTCATTGATATATTAGTCTCAATATATAAGTTATTTAAGATTATTTTGCCTTATAATAAAACAGAAACTGTAAGCATGTTGCCCATATCTCTGCAAATGTAGGATTTGGAAATTTCCCTAAACTCACTTTTGCCTAATCTTCTCATCCCAAAGGCCTCTTTATTTAATGGGCATATATCATTTATATGTCCAAGATCATCAGTCACAAACTGTGAACCTACCATTTTGACATAAAAGATCTATCCTTAAATCTCCTCAAACCTCTAGCATATAATTTGAGGAAATTAGCTAAAGTCTGGGCTTCTGACTTCTGGGGGGGAAGAAATGTAAAACTGGAGAAAGCTTATATTATACAAATTTGATTTTAAAGTCATGGTTTACCTGAGCCAGGGATTAAAAATTGATGCAGCTGCAGATCTTTAAATGTTGACAGAAATAGATAATCTTGTTAATTAATGTCTGGTCAACTTGGAATTTTGTGGCTAATAAACACAGTATGAAGTAAAGGAGAATATTTGCAAAAATAACATGACTCATTAAAGCATATATTACCAAAACTGTATTTTCCTCATAGTTGTATTTTATTGAGACAAAGAAATGTATATGCTCTAAAATATTGCAATTTGCTGAAATATTGAACAGCATGTCTCAATTTTTATTTAAAAATGTTTTTTATCAACTGAGGTGAAAATGGCAGGAAAACCATAAATATAAGGATTAAGGCTGCATGAAATTTGAGTTCATTCAAATGACAAACCCAAAGTAAAACTCAGATGAACTTACCAAATTTCATTTGGTATCCACCTGAAACTGTAAATCCTCTTTCGGCATTTGAGAGTAAAAAGGAGGTTCACCTAAAATTCAAACCAGATTTTCCTAAAGCTAACCCAGAGTCACTCACTTTGGGGTAAACTACAGTTGTGTTTTGGGTTCATAATAAAACTTTCATCCCACTTTAGCTAATGATGAAGAGATGATGGGCTGGGGAAGAGAGCTAGATGTTTTGGGAATTGCTGTTTTGTCCTATTTTATTTCGTATTTCCTGTAACATTCTGAAGTAGGGAAGAACAGTATATGAAGCCCATTTTCAATGATATATATGGAAATGTGACCACATATGAGAGACCAGAGGGGAAACTGACAAATACGCATACGATTTTTTAAAAAAGGAGAATCTAAATGAAATGTCCGTAACCAACATTTCTTGAGTGCTTACTGTAACCAGGCACAATTTTAAGTACTTTGCATGTATTAACTCAACTTAGTTGACCATAACAGTACCAAACAAACACAATTATCTCCATTTTGCAGATAAGAAAGACTAGGCACAGGGAAATTACATAACTTGCCCAAGGTTACACTGCTCCTAAAAGGGATTTGAACGCCAGGATGCCTGGTTCTGGAATCTCTGTACTTAAGCACAATGCTATACTGCCTCCCTAGAGAAAATATAATTGCAATGTTGTTTGGAAAACAAACTGCTACAGACTATACATAGGAGAAGTATTTTCCCATTTTTAACTGCTGAGAACAGAAGTAAATGTAATGGCAGAAACCAAGGTCGAGAAAGCTCATTCTTGTCTAATCTTCTTAACCCAGAAGTAGGAAGGGAGTCGAAGTCCCAAATCTCCCTGAAGTCTTTGCTGAGTGTCTACTTGGAATGCTACATATGTAGAATACCTTAATGCCAAAGAGATAGAGATAAATGGACTGGAATTCAAAGAAAAAAAGTACAAAAATGACAGGGTGAGAGATTGACTTGGGAGGAAAGATCAGAAGAACTAAATAAGGGAAACTTGGAGAAGCAATAGTTAATATAGAACTCAATAGCACTCTAGAAATATTTAGAAGGAAAATGAAGGCCTACAAATGTCACCAGGGAGATTGGAAATAGGTAAAGAGGAAGGTCTAAGAGAAAAACAAATTAAGGGAACTCAGATTTTGTCATTTTCTTGCAAGACCAGTAATGAAAGCTATATTTTCTTGGAATACTGAAGCCTAAATCAGAGATGTCACAGGAAAACAAAAATATGTTCCCTGCCTCGTGTAGGTTGAAGCAGAAAGATAGGCATATATATATTATATATATATATACATACACATACATATATATAAATATATATATAATATATACTATTACATATATTACTATATGATAGTAATATATTTATACTATACAATTATTAATATATATATACTATTATGATGTAAAGTATTTTTTAAGCCATATGGCTTTAAAATTAGTTTACCTCATAATAGTATGTGGAATGCCCCCATAACCTTTATATTCACTTTCTCATTTAATTCTCATGATGAGTTTGTGAAGTTTATATTATTAGCTCCATTTTGTAGATATGAAAACCGAGGCTCAGGGAGGTTGTGTTACCTGCCCAGGGTCATGCAGCCTGTGGTCCCCCTGCATCGTCCCAAGCCTCGTCTCCTCCCAGAACACCATACACTGTCTTCTCTCCCACAGCATCCCCAGGACTTCTCCCAGAAGATGATGTCACAGAACAACTGGTTTTAGGCCAAATTTACTGCGGTGCATCACACTTAAGGCATGTACTGATAAGAACACGTTCTGCTGGAATGGGACATAACCTGGCTTCTGATAACTGGGGGCACCCTCTAGGAGGTGGCCTGTCTGCTCAACTTTTGCAGAAGCTATGTATGTTAAGTAAACACTCTGAAGTTGGCTTGGATGGGGGAGCAAACGATAGATGGATGAACATTCAAACATGGACTGGAACTCTCCAAGCGGGCCCCCAGTCTCCTGTGTTTATAGGCCCCCAAATGAAATCACATGGCTGTTTATAGGAGTCTTAGTGCTGATGAAAAGACGGAGTTAATGCACCAAACTTTTCTCTGCCAAAGGAGAAAAGTTCCAGGTTCTTTAAAAAGTATGTAAAGCATCTGATCTGAAAAGTGGCAACAGCATTTGGGACCAATTACCCAGATTAAGAGGCAACAATGCTCTGTTTACACTTTGTAGCCAAGAGCCCTTTGGCTCTGGCCCACAAGCTGGAGATTGTAAATTACAGAAATTTCAGCCTAACATTGCCTTCTCTTTTGACCTGTCTGTCTGAGGGTAGAGAAAAGCAGCTAGAAAAACCCTGTTGTTACTTGCCTTAAAATGTCAATGAATGGGGAACTGAATGTTGTCTTCCAGGTAAGATGTTTAACACAGATCCTCTGCAAGGAAAGCGTGCATTTTCTCACTCAGGGAAGGGGCTAATTGACTGTGGATGCTGTGTCAGGATGTGGTTTTTCAGTTTGCCACTCCTCAAAAATGATTTTTGCAAAAGAAGTTAAAAGTAAAGGCTCTCTGACATCTTTTGCTTAATTACCATTGCATTCCACTTTAACTCCGTTTTCCAATATGCTGTGGATTAATCCGTAACAAATGGGAGTTAGTGGCATCATTACCATGAGGACTGTACTGCTGAGAATGGAGAGACACAGATTATGGTAAATACAGCCATGTGGGCAAAAAAGAGGCATCATTTGGCCAAAACTTGGAGGCCAATACAGGTCAGAATCATTTGGGAATGAGATTTCGTTTTCTCCCTTTACTAAGGAGGCCAGCCCCCACTTTATATAATCCTGATAATTCCAGAAGTTTGGGGAAAATATTCGTCTTTCTTTCAACATAATCCTGATGTTAAGGGCTTGACCTTGCCGGGGGAAAAGGAACCACAGAGGTCTGAAGGCAAGAAGAATGGGAGGCATATCTATTCCTGAAGCACAGACCTGCCAAACCCAGTGGTGTGGAAAAGACGAGTCATTATTTTACCAGTGGCCGTAATGCACGTGTTCAGAGGTTTAGAATTTAACCACTTTCGATACCACATTTAGACCATCAAACTGGATGTATCCAGAGGTAGGGACTGAGCTCTTTTTAAAGTTCTATAGGTTGGATAGTCATTTAGATGAAAACATGATTGGCATTGTGATTGTGGAGTATTATGGGAATCTTAGGATCGGAAAACATTTTGTTTTGTTTTGGAAAACATTTTTTACCCCGTAATCCAGGGTCCACTTTATGGAGGGCTGTCTTCTGAGGCAACTCATATCTGAGGGCATTCCGGTCCCCTTGGATGTCAACATATTTTTTCGATAAAAACTGATCAACAACCAAATTTATTCAATTTTGGATTCTTCTGACCCTGGTCTATCTCAATAATTTACCATTTTTGGCAGTGTCAGAGCTTCCTGACATTTACAATTAACTCACAAATTAACTTAGAAATGATAGTAAGCTCTCAGCTAAATGATATAGTGGCCACTGGGGACCAGACCAATTTTCTAGAATAAGGTTAGGGCTAAGTTGCTCTGTAACAATGCTAAGGTTGGTTGTGTAGAAGTAGCTATTCAAGTGTGAGCAGGAATCTATGTGTGAGGGGGAGATGTTATCTGCCTCTCACTCTGCTGGTTACTAAGCCCTCTGATATTTCTTCATCTATATAACAGGGATAACCGGTTTCTAAAACATTGTGGAATTCAAGGCTCCATAATGGAATCAAGAAGTCAGGAACGGCTCCCTTGGAAGGAAGCTTGGAGGACACTGGTCCAACTTCCCACTGAAGCCAGAGGTCTGGAAATGGGCAGACGGTCAGGCAGACACCGATTCAGCATTTTCAAGAGTTGTAAATTCAAGGCAGGTAATGTAAATATGTGAAGGTCTGGGTGAAGGTTGCCAGTTAGCCCTGGCCAGCCACCTAAGAGATGGGAGGGATAGGGTTCCCTTTCCCCCAGGCTACCACTATTGGGAGCTTTTTTTTAGAAAGTTTTGTTCCTTCTGTGGGAACCAGAACGGTGTCCCTGGAGCATCTTTCTACAGAGTTGGAGTCTGTCCTCAGAAGCAACAGAGTTGAAACACCTCATCCCTACATCATATGGCAGACTTTCAAAACCTTGAAGGTAACTTTCATTCTCCCCCACCCCTTCAAGCCACTGCTTTTGTTTTATTGGCTAAGTTCCCCAGTGCCCCATATGACACGGACGCAGAAGTTTTGTCTTCCTGAGTTGGCCTTAGTTTGCCAGAGTCTCTTAAGAAGAATCCAGAAAAAAATAAAATATTCAGAAGTCTCGTGACCAGTGCTATCTATCAGGTCACGTGACTTTAATCAGAGCCCTGGTCAGGGAGGAGCCCCCATACTGTGGAGTCAGACTTCAGTCATCTACGGCTTGTATGGGGGATTTATTGCATTTAAGAACGTCTCATGTTTATCCCCATTAAACTGCATTTTGTTTTGGCTTTTGGTGGCTTTTAGAGTCTATCTCTCTCATCTTTTGTTCCTTTACAAATTGCATTAGCATGTCTCTTACAGTTTTGCCCAATCATTGATCTGAATATTGCAGAAGCCAGGATTTCTGGGGTTTCTAGGCTCTTTGATGTCACTAGTAGTTACGCTGAAAATAGTTAAAGCTTTATTTCTTTAATTAGCTCCTAAGCAACCATTAATAGTAAGGTTTCTGGAAACTAGATTTGCCTGGATTTAAATCCTGGGTCTGCTGACATACCAGGTGTGTGGCCTTGGGCCTGCTGATTTAGTACCTCAGTTTCCTCATCTGTAAAATGGGGGAGAATAATATAACTATACCTATGGTTGTTTTGATGATTAAATGAGTTAATATATGTAAAGCACTTAGACGAGTGACAGATACATAGCATACACTATTTATTATACAATGAAAATAAATCAAGACAGGGTCCCTAAGGACAAGGACAGTCTCTCGTTTGTATCTGTGTCTCCAGAGACTAGCACTGTGCCTGGAATATATTTAGGGCTAGTAAATTGAGTATATGGATGAGTGAGTTTCCATAGTGTTCTAGACACTAGATGCAGACAGATAATATAATCAATGCTATGATTTCCAATGCTAACAGATTTTCAATACTATTATAAAAACGAAGTTGTCCACATTCAATCTCAGGTCATCATCGGGGTGGTTATTTTGCCCCCAATTTTTCTAGGAATGATCATCATTGTCACCAGTGTCTTTATTGATGCTAATCTGTTATGTCTCAGTTTAGCTTGGAAGACCAGAAAAATCACACTACGAAGTTTAGTCTCAGCTCAGAAAAAGAGCAAGGATACAGCTTAGTTTGCCTGCCCCAATCTGAGAGGTGACACTGTCTATTTTTAGCATGAAAAGTCTCTTAACCCAAGAATGCTAGCGTTCCTTAGTCAGATCTTCATGTTTAAACTTTTGTAGATTCCCCAGCCATCGTCAGACTCATTCAAAAAGACATGATAAACAATTTAAATGTTTTAAACATCATCCACAGCGTGGAAGTTTCCACATCTGTGTACCTTTCCATTAACACCCCAAATGAAGCGCTGACATCAGGGTAGGTCTTGATTTAAGTGCATAGCAACATAATGCCCCCCTTGGTTCAGTTTCTGTATGTGAAATCTTTCCGAGATATCTTTTACATGGAATTCCCTTTGAACTTCCGTCCAGGCTAATTCAAACACGTTCCGTATTTTCCTCCTTCTATTAATACAGTGGAGCTCAAGGAAGAAAATTCACCCGTGTTTCCTCCTTTGTATATGTTCCATAGGTACCCCTGCAGCAATTACCTATTAGAAGCGGAGGAAGAGGCGGTCTGTGAGCGCAGGGGCCACCGGTAGGTAATAGGATCCGTGGTTGTTGTGGGTGTAAAGTACTAACACTTTTTTTTCTGTACGCGAGCCTCTCACTGTTGTGGCCTCTCCCGTTGCGGAGCACAGTCTCCGGACGCGCAGGCTCAGCGGCCATGGCTCACGGGCCCAGCCGCTCCGCTGCATGTGGGATCTTCCGGGACCGGGGCACGTGTCCCCCGCGTCGGCAGGCGGACTCTCAACCACTGCGCCACCAGGGCAGCCCTGCTAACACTTTTGACAGCCACGATCCTAAAGGGGTGTAGCAAGTCATTGGAAATTTGTACACAGACTGCCCCATCCATTACGCATCACCCGTTATCATACCCATAATCTACCAAGGCAGAGATGCTATTACACTCAGCGGGCCAAGGGCTGCCCGAGTTTATATACACACAACTCCCACTGACTCTGTGCTACCGATGTACTTCAGTGCGAGTTGTCAGCAGCATAAATTTAGCTCAGTACAGTCACAACCACAGCAGGCGCAGCCAGAGATGTGGCTGTGTGTTAAAAAGGCTGAGGAAGAACAAAAAAGCTGTCCGTTTTCACAAGAAATCTTACCCCTAGAGCATGAAGAACTGTAGCCTGCCACCTGCCACACCACCCTCATCCCACAGCCTGCGGATCCCAGCCTGGGACTTGGAAGCAGCCGAAACAGAGAGATCAGGAAAGAAAAAAAAAAAAAAAAGGCCTATTACAGGGCATAAAACTGTGCTCTGCATCCAACCTGATTATGTGAGGGAAAAATTCCCCATACATAGATGATCCTCAGAACATTTATTTATCAAAATTTCGAGGAACATCTTGGAACCAGTGACCCTCTTTAAATAGAGAATATTTAAAATAGGTACAACAAAGGTACATAGATGCCCACCTCTTGAAAGCCACTAGTCTGAGTCAGACGGTGTCATGGGTGTTATATTTTATTTTTAGTCCTTTCATAACGTTTTTGCCATGTTATCTAATGTAATTCTTTGGGAGGTCTTTCTTGGCTTTTCAGACAACCCCAAGTCATACCTTATAAGTGATCAGGTGTCATTGACCTCAAGCCCAGCCTGCAATAAACTCCAGGGTTTAATCTGTATTCTGAGCCCTTGCCACTGCAGACAATGAAGTCTATTCATAATCAGTGAAAGTGCCATAGTTTGGCGAGCAGGGCCTGGGTGCCAATCCATGCTTCATATCACCCTAATTGTGTGTCTTAGACATGTTGCTTAACATCTCTAAGCCCCAATTTTCTCATCTGTATCCTGAGGTTAACAAGTTCTTCTTCACTGTGATGCTGTGCAGACAATACCAGAAAAGATGTGTGAAACACTTAGCACAACATAAAAGCTCCATCGAATGGATGGATGCACATGTCATACTGTATGGTACATAGTAGGCACTCAAGAAAAGCTTCCTCCTCCTTCTTTTTCCTCTCTTCTTACCCAAGACAGCCTAACAAGTTACTGCTCATGCAAACCTAGGTCTATTAAGAAAAATATGGCGTTTAAAGAAAATAAATATTATCCCATGTGTGACAAATGGCCACACATGTGACAGAGCACATTTAAAGCTATTCTCATCCTTTGATAGTTGTTACAGAACAGATAAGAATAATCCATTCAAAAGGAAAATCAAAAACTAAAGAGTAAGCAAGGAACCAAATTAGACATTTAGTCAAGTCTGATTAATGGCTACTTCCAATGGTGATTTGAACTGAGTTCAGGATCCCTGCCTGTCTGACTGTTAATGTACAGTGGTGAGGGGTGACCATATTAAGAAGCGGAATGCATAGTTCATTCAAAGTTCACATAGATTGTCTTAGTTTGTGAAAGACCAAACTCAGGTGCAATTCTGGTAATGCAACAAAACTAGTATGTTTCATGATAATAAGTTTAGGTATAGAAAACTATCTTTCTTCTGGATAAATTTAGCTTCCTTGCCATTTCTTCATTTTTTTTTTTCAGTTTTTTCAATATGAGGACCCTAGTTTATAGTAGAATTAATCATGTTAATCATGTGTTAAAAAATTATATCACTCTAAAAGACTTCCAGTCATTCTAAAAAGGGTAGTCTAGGTCACATTTAAAAAAGAAGGCGTTCTTGAACAGGAAAAAGTGCAATAGGTAAATTTGAAAAGTATGAGTAATTAAGTAAAGATTCAAACATTTCTTTTTATATGTTTTCTGATATAAATATGTTGCTCTACCATTGTTAAGTAACTCCCATTGGCACATTTAACTCTGAACGCTCTGATGGGAGATGCGATATTATGTTATTAGAAGAAAATAGCAACTGAAGTTTAATAAATTTGGAAAGAGTACATGCAAATTTGTGTGTGTGTAGGAATTGACTTTTTTCAGTTGACAAAGGAATCTTGTCTGGTTTGAAATTGCAGTTAGAAAATGTTGAAAGTAAAAACAAAAATTGAATTTGTACCAAATTCAGGGGCTTTGAAGAGCTGATGTGTAAAAATTTGGTAGTGGTGATGACCATGCAGCCACTTCTATTTGTGTAATAAAATCAGAAAAAATACAACAAGATTTACTCTAAATATAAGCTAAGGTCATAAATCAAGCTCTAAAAAAGAAAATAAAATGGGTGTACATACATCCAAATATACATGATAAATTCTTTAAATTCTTTTTGTCTCATCAAAGATAATAGAAAAAATAATAATAAAATTAAGCTGACTTCTGCCTTCCAGCTCTCTTCCTTTTGTGTAGAGCTGATCGTAGTAGTGGCCTCTTAAATCTGGCTAATTCTGTGGTCAGTGGATATTGTTTAACAAAAATTCTTTTTCAAAAACAGGGTCCTTCCCCTGCTCATCCACATTTGCCTCAATTTGACTTATCCCCCCACCTCCCAGGCATGTCAGATCAGAGAATCATATCAACCCACGTCAAATCGATTTAGGACACGAAATCTTTCCTCAAAAATGAAATTCCCTATGAAAACTTAACAGGACCAACAAATACATCAGAAAAGTGTTACGGTAAAAGTGCCAGAAGTCGAGCTAAAATGAAGGCCAAATCTTTGAGATCAGGGAGAAGGGGAAAAGGGTCAGACAGAAAGAGATGTGAAAGGAAAAGCAGGGCAGGAGGAGAGACAAGAAGGAGAGAAGGGACCCAAATTAGAACAAGAGGCGATGTTTATTAATAACCTTGCTGACCCACGGGCCCCTGACCCAAAATACATTAAGTATTGTTGGGACACTGCTCTGTCAGTCACAGGAGGAGCATGTAAAATGGTGTTGGAAGCTGCAAACTTTCCGAGAACTGACAAAAAAGAGCAAAAAAAGGCCAGGATAAGGTAAAGGCATAGACTCACGGGGTTGAGAAGTTCCCTTTATACTCCCGCAGCATTCTCTCTGGACAGCCTACCTCACAGTTCCACGCTTCCAGCCAGCTAGGATTTAAAACACACATGAAACTATGTTTTTCTTGATTGCAAAAATAATACACGTTCATCACAGAACATTTGGAAATTATGGAAAAGCACAAAGAAGTCAATACAAATTGCTAGTCCCACCACTTGTATATAATCATTGTCAATGTGTTGATATGCATTTTCTCATCTTTTTCCTCTCCTTTTTTACACGCATATATTTGTATGTTGAAAAGGTAAGACTGACACCTTGCTGTCATCCACTATTTTGGAATCCGGTTTTCCCATCTGACAAGTCCTTATATATATTTGCTCATGTTGTTAAAACTATTATAAAACATGATTTTTATGTTGGCATCATATTTCCTTATTTGAAGGTATCATAATTCATTTGACCTCTAGTTAGATATTCATGTAACTTTTTGCCTTTTTAAAATGTTTGTGTACATCTCTGTTCCCTCTGGAAATTACTGTGAGTGAAATTCCTGGGTCAAAGTCTTTTTGGGGCTAAAATTTGCAGAGTTGCCCTCCAAAGTATTTATGCCAGTTTATATTCCCACCTGCAGTGAGTGAGAATACAGAATTCACAAACCATCATTAATTCTTTCCAAACTAAGATAAGAAACTTAGAACCTACTGTGATTCGTATTTCCTTGATTGTGATTCTAGCTTCTTCATGTTTCTTGGCTGTCTTGTGTGTATGTTATTTGTCTGTTATTCTAATTTCTATTTATTTAAAATTGTAGAAGTTCTATTCAATTTTTCAATTGTGTTAGTTCTTTGCATATAAAGTTGTAAAAGTTCTTTGCCTATTAAATTTGTTAACCCTTTCACTATTGCCCATTGCAAGCATTTCTTCATTTTGTCACTTAAGTTTTAATTGTGAATGGATTTTTAATGTATATGTTTATGAATTTAAATACATAATTATTTTCATTTAGTCTTTCTTCCTCTACTTTTATGTTTAGAAAGGCACATCCCAGGGTCAGAGAAATGTTAACCTATATTTTCCACTAGTGCTTTTGTGGCTCTTTTTAAAGGATTTAAATCTGTCACATATTTGGTCTGTGTGGTTAAGAATCTATTTCCTCACTGATCTAAATGTTGTATGCTATTGGGCTTATTTCTGTATTTTAAAATTTTATTCATTATCTTTCTGTCTTCATCACTTTTTTTGCCAAAACCCTCCATTTTTATTATCACAATTTAAGAATATGCTTTCATATCCAGTAATGCAAAGTTTTTTTTTTTTCTCATTACAATTAGTTTTCTGGGTTATGCCTCCTTATTTGTTATCCCATAAGAACTCATCAAGTTCAAAATGTAAGAAAAGACAATTGATACATTACTGTGTGAGGATTTGAGGTCTTTAATACTGAGTTTTCTCATTTAGAAGTAAAGCATGCCTTCTAATTTATTTTTTCACATGAACTCCTATTAAATTTGTAGTTTCTTCATGTATTTTTCAATGTGCATGGTGTCAAATTTATTCATTGCTATTGTGAATACAGTTTCCCTATTAAATCTTATAATTGTTTTCTGAGGAAAGTGATTTTTATTTTGTATTTTTGCTTTTTTATTTTGTATTTTCCCACTTTACTGGTTTCTTATTCAAAGAGTTTGCCAGTGGATTCTTTTGAGCCATCTAATTAAATCTTATCATCTGTAGAAAATGATAATTTTGTC